AGTATATATTTTTTAACATATATATATATATATAATCGGTATCTACCCGTCCATCCATCCAACCAACCAACTTCGACACCTCGAAACGAGCGTGTGTTTCTTCCTGCCTGCTCCTGCGATACTGCGATACTGTAGTCTGTGCTATCGTCTAGGTACCCTAGGTAGGTAGGTAGGTAGGTAGGTATCAGAAAAATACTCTCTCTCTCTCTCTCTCTCTTCGAGATCTCTCTCTCTCTCTCTTCGAGATCTCTCTTCGAGAGATTGGGATGATTCAGCTTTCCCTTTCCTCCTCCCTCCCTCTTTCGCCCCCTCTTCCCTTTCGCCCCCTCCTCCTCCTCCCCCCCCCTCCCCTCCCCTCCCAACCTCCCTTTACCCCCCAAACACCCTAAACACCCCCAACACCCCAACGCCCACGCATAAAAGAACGCGCGAAAAGCTACGCTCGCTTCTATTTACTCTGTCGAGAGAAGAAGAAGAAGGAGAAGAACCAGAAGATGCTATGCTAATCCGCCAAAAAAAAAAGGAAAAAAAAAAAAGGAAAAAAATCTAAAAAATCCAAAACTCCAAAACTCCCCCTTGTCTGTCCCTCGCCGGCCGGCCGATATCCGAATATCCGAATATCCCCGGATGCGATGGATGCGATGCAATGCGATGGATGCGATGCCCACGCTAAGAAAATGCAGCAAGAAAGAAAGAAAGAAAGAAAAAAAGAAAGAAAGAAAAGGAGAAGAAAGAAAAAGAAGAAGAAGAAGAAAGCGCCGTCCATGTCCCGGCCCAGCCTCGCTGCCAGAGAGAGGGAGAGACGTAGACGTATACACATATAGATAGATAGAATAGGAGCCACACATCGGTCGAATCCCGCCGACCTTGCGCTACGGCACACAGCAGCAGCAGGAGGAGAAGAACACGGCCCCGAGGGTACAGTAGGTCTAGGCACCGTGGCCGCCCGCCCGGGAGAGGGCAGCGAGAGAGCGGGCGAAGCTGCGGCGCGCCTTGGCGGCGGCGGCTGCTGTTGATGTTGATGTTGCTGCTGGCCCTGCGCCGGGTGCTTCTGGGGTTGCGGGCGCGTCGGGCGCGGTGATGGGGCTGGTGATGGGGCTGGTGGCGTTGGCGACGCGCTTGGACATCTCTTGGATGATGGACTGGGTGAGTTCGGTGCTGGATTTGGTCCAGCCGAGTTCGGTGGGGAGGCGTTCGTTTTCTGGGTGGGGGCGTTAGTGTGTGTGTGTGTGTGTGTGTGTGTGTGTGTGTGTGTGTGTGTGTGTATATGTGATATGTATATGTGTGTATGCCAAGGGGAAAGAGAGGTTTGGGAAAGAGAGCCTGGAGCGCTTTGCAAGCAAGTGACTTACCGAACCAGGAGACGACGTATTCGCGAGACACGGTGCCGGATGGGATGTCGCCGAAGACGAGGAAGAGGGCGGCCATCTCGGAAAAGGTGACGCGCTCCGAGGCGGGCGTGAAGGTGAAGTTGGGATTGAAGGCCCTCATCTCGAGTTGGCGCGCCGTCATGCTGTTGGCCACCATCTCGATCGTCACGGGATCCGCCGTCCAGTACGACTTGGTCTCGTCGAAGACGCTCTGGTTGAACGGCTGGACGTCTCCAAATGTGTTGTCGGCACGGCTAAGTCGGGAATCTGGTCAGTCTCGCACGTGGTCATGTACCGGTAGATCTTGCTTGTCCGCCATCACTAACCTCAAGCTAGCATCGTGCTCCAGAAGACTTGGGACGTTCAACATGGTCCTAGCAGAAAGTCAGGATGGGAACGGCAGTCAGGATGGGAACGGCGGTGCGTGCCCTCATGATGGTATGACCTACAGATCGAAAGACTGCACACTTGGGTCTGGCTGGGCCTTCATGCCCTGGCCCCAGAATTGCTCGGCAAAAGTAGCGTTGAAGTTGAGAGCATCCTTGAACGCCGCCGTGGCAATGTCCAACGTGATATTCCTCCCATCGCGCGGAAAGAAGCCGTGGTTCGCAAGTGTGTTCAACATCGGGCAGGGGCCGCGAGCTGTAAGGTGCGGTTAGCCACAAGCCGCGACCGGTCATGATCTTCCGCTGGGAACTTACCCGCTCCCTCTTCTGCTGCAACGAAGTCGCCGCGGGCTGCTGCTCCGTTGAAAGGTGGTCGTTCCATGCAGTAATGAGCCGAGGCAACGGACACGGTGGTCATCGACATGGAAAGGAGAGCGAGCTTCATCCTGCTGGTGGAGAGGCGAGGGTTGAGTAAAGGCCGGTTGAATGAAGGTGCGTATGGTGTGGGCCGGCGTAAGCAGGAATTGATCGGTAAAGAGTGTTGGACAAGGGAGATGTTGGATGGATGATAGTAGGTAATTCTGATCACTCGGACTGGAAGAGAGCTTTATATCAAAAAGTTGGGATGCCTCCCTATCGCTGGACCACGCGCCGATGCCTGCCGGCACCTGTCTGCCATCCCATTACGAGCCGGTGATACATCATGCACGTCTGTTGACTGGAGCTCTCCGCGCCTGCTGGTGGCCGCTCAAGATGGAACTGTGAATACGACAACACATTGTAAACGCTAGTCCACCCCGTCACAGAGGGTTTGGGGTATCCGGTAAGCGACATCTGGGTGGCGCCGGACAAGCCTTGGGACGAAGTGCCACCACGTCCAGGACGTAGCGGGTATCAACAGCCGAGTTTTACTTATAAGGCTGAAGTGTGAGGTTGATCCCGCGCCGGAGTGAAACAAAAACACACTTGCGAATACGGCGACGGCGACGGCTACGGCTTGGCAGGCTCGATCGAAGGCCGATCCGCGGCCACAACCTCTCTTCTGTACTGCTTGCGCTGGCGCACCCTAGTTTGTAGCTGTATCGTAGTTGTACCGGACAGTATTGCTCTTCTCTAGGCTTGCTTACTACATCACTGTTCTGGGAAAGGCAGAGCCGGAAGCGAACCTCTCGCTCACGCGCTAGTGCGCTCACGACACACACAAGCCTCTTCCCGGCTCGAAGTTTCAAAGCTTCTGGACAAGCGCGCAGATCGCAGATCCGTACGGATCGTTGGATCCTTCCCCTTCAGAGAAGCTTTGCACGGCTAGGTATGCTAGCCGCGAAGGGCGATCGGATCTGGGTGCACGCCACGGGTAGTTGCGTCATTCTGTGCCGCCGCGCCTACGGTATTCTTTGAGGTCGACAAGACAATAGCATCATCCCTTTGATATCAAGGCGAGAAGATGCATGGAATTGATTGTAACGAGGCTGAGCGACCGATTTAAAGCATACATCTCTATCGGAGGCGGTGGGAATATGATACTGAGTACTGAGCACCTCTGCCATTGATCGAGGTACGTACCTACGTATACCAAGACTTTTCTGTTCTTTTTTCTTTTTTTTGAAAGGATGACTCGGTGGAAGATGACGAAAACTCAATGGAGACCGAACGATGCTACCCGACCAGTGACATCTTATTATTAGCACCAATAGTATTTCCTAATCAAAGGGGAGGAATCTTTAAAATAGTGTTAGTGTACGGAGTAGTCCCCCCGGATCAGAGGCACCACAATCACACCAACGACATAGCGAGCGATCAGGAGCCCTACCTAGACCCACCCAAATCCCCCATCAACCACCCAACGCACTCCACTCTGCTACCGTACATGCCCATCCAGAGAAATGTTTCCCGCCATCTGATACCTGGCAGGGTTGCGTCCGCACGTATATCGGAAGTTGTCCGTCCCTCCGTCGCGCCGACCCCCATCGACTCAAGTAGAGGTCAAAGCCCTTGGCTCGCCGGCTCCTCTTGCAATAAATACGGTAGGTAGGTAGGTAGGTACCTAGGTCGACACCCCACTGCCTGCCGTGCAGACCCCGGGATGCAGTCTGCGGCGGCGAGACAGGCGAACGCCGTCGTCATCGTACCGGTACCGGTACATCTGGCAGGCAGGCACGGATACCGTCCGTAGCAGGCAGGTCTGGGATCCCGTCCCGCCGGCTGGGAACGCAGTGCACAGAACATGGAATGACGAAAGCTGCCGCGAAATCGGGGGCATGAAGTTTCCTCTGTCGTATCCGGACCGCCGCCGTGGCGGGATTGCTGGACGCCTGATGCATAGGTGCGGTAACTCGTCGCAGTGGCATGGACATGGCTGAGGATAGGTCGATCTAGCTATGGGAGGGAGTACGGCGACTGAAGGAGAGACGCCTTTCATCCTTCCAACTCCAACTCCAACTCCAACTCCATTCTAATATCACCTACCTACTCTCCTCACTCCCTCGCCCCACCACCAATCACCAACACAAACAACCCGAACCTGAAGCCAAACCCCAACATCACCCCTCAAAGCAAATCTTCTTCTCAATCCCCCCAGATCAGACCCTCCTTTCGAAAGTCCCGCCTCCTTGAAAGCAAAGCAAATCCGTCACGAGGGAAGGGAGCACCACTACGTACCGTACCTAGCAATAAGAGCCCCCAACAACGAATACCCAGCCGGAGCTGCTCGATCCTCAGCACCACTTCCACATCCACATCGGAGCAGCGCATCTCATCTTCCTTTCCTTTCCTTCTTCTCATCAGACATCCATCCATCCACATTCGTGAACCAATAAATCAATCAATACATTTTTTTTTTCTCCCCTCGCGGAACGTTCTACTATGATGGGTAGGGATGGATGGATAGGTATGCTCAGTGCTCGTCAGGTCGCGCGTTCTGGAATCACGTGATATATATAAATATATATATGAATTCTCATCCTCACCACCAACCAGCATGTCCGAAACGATGATACATACTGCGTACAGAGGAGACCATACTCGCGACTAAGCCCCTCCTTTAACTTCCCGACGCCCACACACACCCTCATGTCTGCAAGAAATTGTAAAAAGAGACAGGTCCCCCCTAAACTGCCTCCTAACCACCACCACCCCTCAATTCCCCTCTTGTTTTGAGATCTG